CCACCCCCACCACCTTATCCCTCCTCCCCTTCCCCGGGCCTCCATTTGCTGACTGCAATCCTTTTCATTCCTGAGTGGTTCCCATGAAGCCGCCGCGCTCGTCACGGCCGCAGCTCGCGTCGACCGATCGCTGGCGCCGCCGAGAGCTGCGACGCGACCCGTTGACGCGTTTGGGTGACGTGGCGCCTTTCGAACGGAGACCCCCCGACGTAAAAGTATGCACCGAGACCCCCTTCGAGACGCGTGAAAACGAGTCATGGCTGAAAAATGCAGCATGTGGTTCTAATGGAAGCCGTCTTGAGTTCTCCCGCTTGGACGCGATTGCTGGTGCAAAGCGGGCCGTTTTGTTGCCATGTCGCCGATGTGGCGAAAACAACTGGAAACAATCTGCGAGTCCAAGTGAGCTCATGCGCAGTTGCTTGATTTGGAAAAGCGGTTGCGAGCCTTTTGGCTGTTTCAGGTTTTTTCTCGGGCTGATTTTCAGGTAGCAGGTGATGCAAAGGAGGCCACGAGTTGAAGCCGCCACTTCGCTTTGTTTCTCGGAGACGGCGATAACAACCCCGGGGACAATTGGACCTGGTGCCATTAGCCTCTAGTGTTCGAATAGGAAAATAATTCAAATAAGCTACAAGTACCGCCTGTGTGGACTCTCTCTAGTGGTACGCAAAAGTTCCATCTAAACGTACACCTGGTCAGACTGCGCCTAAAAGCCGGCGCCGGGTTGACCCCGGGTCGAACGCGAAATGGGGTCAATTTGATCGGCTTGCAGCCAGGCGGAGTCTGAGCGTGGCGGATGTCACGTGTATCGTAGGTGGTTCATAAATATGTGAAGAGCGGGCATCAAACCTTGTGAATCACTGTGTAAATCAGTTCACAATCATAACAATAATGATTATATCAGATTTTTTTACATGGGTGGCACAGCCTGGAGGGGAGGCAGGTAAATGATCAGGTGCGGGAGGCAATCTCCTCTACACTGAAACAGAATGAGAAAAGCCACTTTGATTGGCTAAGACTGGAGTTGGCTGTGTCCACTCCCACAGCAGCGCAGACCTCCCCATGTGCAAAATTACCAACGCCGAGTTGAAGCCGGCTCCAAGGAGTCAGCCCACATCTTTGGCAACGTTGGGCATGATTGACTCGGTGATTGCCTTCCATTGGGCTCCCTTCTTGTCAGATGTGAAAATGATTCCGCTCACCCTGCGCTCAAGTGCTCTGAGAAGCTGCTAAATAAAACGCCGACTCTGTCGACTGGCGCCTCCTCACGTGCAGCCATGTTGTTCATGTCCGTCGGCTAGCAACAATGGATAAATATCAAATAACGTATACATTTCATTTGGTCGAGCTCTTTGATAAGCAAAAGGTCAATGGATATTGAAAAGTCGTTGATTTTACTGAAGTGGCATTTGGATGACGAGAAAATAAGTTTGTCCCCCAAATTTGCGGTGTCATTTATTTCCCGTGAGCTTTGAAGTCTTTAACGCGATGCCACTTCTCCACATGCCTTGCCGCAAAAGGAACAAAAAAAAAAAAAAACGCAACAACAACAAATGGCTCACGTGCACATCAAGTGTCCACACGTGTGTCGACACATCTGACTTTCATCCGGCGCTTCGTACGTGTACGTGATCTGAGCCTTCGAAGCATCTTGCTCACATTCCACCAGCTCCCTCGCAAATCTTTCCAGCAAACCCGTTGCCCTCCAGACAACTTTTCTTTTTTTTTTTTTTTTTTGCTGACTTTTCTGTCCAAATTGATTCGTACAGAGATGCAATAACTTTAGTCACGATTGATCCTGGTACGATATTAACAAGGTTGCCATCCCATAAAAAGCGTCCACCATTTAGAAGAGCCTCGACCAAAATAATGAAACACATTTTCCTTTCGGAGAAAAAAACAAAAAAAAAAAGGCATGAGGGAGATTTCCACGCTTCTGGCCACAAAGCAAATTTCCGCGCAACCATGACCAACAAGCAGAGACGGAGGCAGTTGTGCTACAACATTGGAAAAAGAACATAAAAGCGATCACGTCGGCTGTCTTTAATTCACTAAAATGTAAAGTCTCAACACAAATGGACATTGGTGCTTTTTATTATTTTTCCATGAAGGTGTTGCGTCATCACTTGGCCATACAAACATGCCCGTGGCCGTGCCTCCAAGAATATTTCCATTTCCACGTAGGTCAAGGCCCCAAAACGACCACTTTTCAGAAACAAATTGCTGAGCAAGAGCTTTCTGACACTTTCAACCGGTCAGGAATTTGTGCAAAGAGCAGACAAGAGGATGGATCACTTCAAAGAAATATTGAAACTGATCACTTTTAGAGGTTTTCCGCCGAAGAAAAATGACACAAAGGTTTTTGTGTTTCGGGTTCCAATTGGCAAACTTAAGAGGAGGATTTAATTGAAAAGCAATGTTGTCTCGTTTGATAGTCTACATTTACCACATGGTGGCGCTCTATCTGCCGTGTCCAACAACTTCACTGAAATCAACGCGTCAGCTTAATGAAAAGACTTCTTCAAGCAGCACAGTAGGAGCACTCAAATGAGCTCAGAGAGAGCAGTGACATCATCGGTGGCTGACGTCGGGAGATCGAATTCTCCGACTGACAAAAAAAAAAAAAAAAAAGAAAAGAAACAACGGGGGAAGTACAGGTCAACTAAAACAAGACCACTCAGGTGTTCCACCGTCTCGGACAGCCAGCTGAAGACTTTAGCAGCCGCCCCCCCCCTCCCCCCAAGTCCTCCCGGGCCTTCCTGTGACTCAGAGACTCCGTCAGGCAGGCTTGCTGCCCCCCTTCTCCCTGCTGCCCCCCCCTCGATTCTCAAGTCTCTTCACATCTGCCCCAAATTAACATAGCAGTGAGTCCGTATTCCCTCTCAGGCGCCTGAGCAATGAAATTGTCTTTGCAGATGTACAACGTCGCGCAACGCTGGTCGATTGCATGTCAGATTTGCGGTCAAACATCATGCAGCTTCCATTGGAAGTTGCGCAGGAGTCATGGAAAAGCGCAAATGTGCCTTTTTTTTTTTTCTCCCCGTCTTTGCACTTCTTTTCAATGCCTGAGGGTGACATCACTGGAAATCACTGACAGATGTCCGTCCGCATCTGCTCACATGCACCAAAGTGGGACCCTTCACTCCCATTCATTTGTTTCTCTTGTCCAACATGCAGGGGGGGAAAAAAAAAAAAAGCCAACAATCGTGCCAGTTTTGCGCACACAACTCGAGCCCGAGCATCTCTCGCAGCTGAGATGTCTCATTTCAAATGAAAACAAGCACACGCTCGCTGAGTTCAAAGAGCCACCAAAGAGCTTTTTCAGTCACACAGCAATCAGGCGTTCCAATAAACGGCAAAAAAAAAAGAGGAAGGACGGGAGAATGGGGGTCCACTTACCATCATCCTGGCTTGTAACAACCAAAACCTGAGCGATGGAGACCACCAAAAAAAGGAAAGTCCTTAAATGCGCAAAGTCCATCATGTCTACAAGAAAGACATGAGACTGCCTTGGGAACGAGAAGGGGGGAAAAGGGATGGAAAGAAAAAGAAGAGGGGAGAAAAAGTTCAGGTTATCACTGCATGAATAGCAACGAGCCTCTCCTTGTAAGCAGCAAGCAGACCCAGCCCAGACTGCCGGAGTGTTTCTCTTCTTCTTTTTTTTTTTTTTTTTTTTTCTTGGGTGTAGTTACAGCTTTAAATGAGAAGAATGCCGGCCAGCCTCATTTTCCTCCCCCTTTTTGTCAGCCCTCTCCCATCCCTCTCATAGTGGCTGCGAAAACTACACCCATGTTCGCGACTCCAGACGTTTTTTTTTTTTTTTTTTTTTTTTTTTTTGGTGCGAACACGTGCACCTTCACCCCTCATGACAATTTGTGCTTAAAATGGACCCTTTTAATCAGTAAGGAATCCATAGCACATAATAGTCACGATTATTTTTTTTTCTCAATATGAAACGTGTGCTGCATGGAGCAACGAAAGTGGTTCATGTCACTTATTAGTACATTAAAAGGCAACTACAGTCAAACCTCGGTTTTCGAACGTCTCTGTTCTCGATCAAATCGGTTTTCGACCAAAAATTTCGATTTTTTTACGGCTCGGATTACGACCGAAAATCGGTTCTCGACCAAACTGAGCGCACTTGAATGCGCCACTTGACTCCTCTCGCCTTCCTTACCCGAGGAAGTGACGCTTCCTCGTGTAGCGTTCCATTGTGAGCAGACGTGTTCAATAAAGATTTTTTTTTTTTTAAAAGAGCGTGGTTTCGGTTTTCAAACAAATCGGTTTTCGAACAGCCTTCTGGAACGGATTATGGTCGAAAACCGAGGTATGACTGTATATCCTACGAACTACCAATTAAGGAGTTTCTGAGATAGAAATAAGTCTTGGCACCTTTTAAGGTTCGTTTCTGACACATTCGGAGGCCTCAAGTGACCCGGTCACATTACGGCTGATCCCGACAAACAAATGTAAGCACACATGGAAGGTTTTCAAAAGGAATGATGGAGCCTACTTTGAATTCAGACTACCCGACAAAAACAAAGTGTCTCTCGCTGATGAAACCAAACTTATTTTGTCGTAAACGATAGACGTGTGACACAGAGGACAAAAAAGAGCACGTTCGTAACTGTGAAGGTTTAAAAGATGCGAGAAATTCTCACTCTTGCCAGAAGGAGCTTCTACACGAGACCAGACAAGAACTTTTTGATCGGAGTTAATGGGTGCACCAAAAAAACCGGCAGTGAGTGTTTTGTTATCTCTCCTCTGGGCGGTCATAAAACAAAGAATACAGTTTACAAGGCACCATCTTGTAACCAACACAGCAGACTATAAGAACTGCGCTTCCGTGCTGATCATCCGGGGCGTCGTTGAGTTGGACTGACAGAGGCAAACCTCGAACTGACAAGAGGTGCAATAAACACGTGGGTGGCCATCAGAGTAGGTGGTCAAGACGAAGGAATCCGGGGCAAAGTCCCCTCCTGACTTAAGAGGAATGGAGAAGTGGAATCTGCTTCCGATGACATGTTGACATGAGGAAACGCCAAATCTATTCATGACGTGCTCTGAACCTAAGACACCAAATTCCTTGTTTTAGTTGAAAATATTTCGAGAGTTAAGACATAAGCCGTTGATTGCGCCACCTGGACTGATGGGGCAGTTCTGGCAAGAATTTCACGGCTTGCGACCTTGACCTCGATTCCTCTTTGGTTGCATGACCGAATGCTGTTGAATTTGCTTTTCAAACTTACAAGGGAGACAAGCGGGACCTGACCAGAGGTGGGACGAAGTCACACGTTGTATGCGCGAGTCGGAAGCGGCTCTCCGGCGTTATCCTTCATGTTGAATGAAAGTCTCGTGTGACTGTGGCAAATATCAAGCAAGTCCAGTCAAGTTGCCGCGAAATCTCAAAACAAGTCGAGTCAAGACATTCGCTTGGGTGAAGGAAGCAAAATAAATGTGACGCCATCTTGAAAGCGCAGCTTTGCAAATGGAAACGGGCGAGACTGGTCAAGTCTTGTCATTCGAGTCTCAGTCAAGTCTCACGAATACCACATCTGTGTCGTCGAGTCTTTTCGGGAGTTTTCGACAAGCACATCCTGAAAATTGGAAACTCAAGTCTGACTCAGGTCAAGTCACGTGACTGGAGTCCCCCCACCTGGCTGGCGTCCTGACAACAACAATGGGCTTCTGTCGAGGGATCCACTGATTCATCTGACATCGATTCAAACAATACAAACGTCTCATCAAACACTTCTGGTTGCATGTTCTACACTTGTGCCCGTCGACAGGAAACTGTTTGCAGGACTGCCGTAAGATCGCGTGATGGTGCGTGAGTGGGTGTTTGTATCTAAAAAAAAAAAAAAGAGGAGGGGGTTGAAGCAAACTCCTGAGAATGACAGCTGTTTCTCTCGTCGGCCCAACCCACGGCGGCCAAAAGTGAGCCAACGCAGAGATCCTCCGGCGACAATCCTCCGGCGACAATCCTCTGGTGAAACATCAAGTGCGTTTTATTCTGGAGAAACGCCGCATCTCAAAAAGACTCAGTGCAGCTCTGCGAGGAGGGCCAACAAACTCACGTTAACAAAAAGAAAGCGGGAAAGTGCCGCCGGCATGGACGGCGCTCGACCGATTGAAGTTGACACCTTGTGCGTCCCAATCCATAGATGGGGCGGTTTCCACTCGCCTCAGGTCAAGTGTCTTTGTTGTCATGCTCAACGTTGCATTTCCACATCAATAACATGACCGAGTCGTCACCCTTCCATCCCCTGACTCCACCCCTCGCTTCACCCCCCCCCCCCCCCCCCCCCCCCCCCCACCCCCCCCCGCCCCGCCTCCATCCTCGTCCGCAGCCCCGTCACCTCTTGTCAAGACGACTGTAACCGGATCCCCGATAAGCTTCAACCTGTCTCGAGCTGCTCTGCACACACCACCGCCAAACCCCCGAGTGACAGATGACGACACCACCAACAACAACAAGCTCTTTGAATTGCACGGGGCGTACGACGACACGCCATACGTTCAATGAAGAAAAACAGCCATCAATCGCTTCACGAAAAACAACGATCGTCGGAGGACACCTGCGGATCAAATGTCCGGCGCCCATCCCCCCCCAAAATCCTACCGTTCAATCGAGCATTTCTCCAACATTTCCATCAAATTCAACATTGTAAAATGTTCAATCGAATATACGTACTGAAGACTATTGGGTAGCGATGCAAAGTATGTATTTGAAAACAGAAAAGGGTTCTCTGCGGAGCTTTTTGAGATGGGCCGGTCAGTGACGGAAAAAAATAAATACTGAGAACTGCCCCCTCCACTTCCCCCTAGTTGAATTGCATTCTAGTGGGACTTTTTGTGTGTGTGTGTGTGTGTGTGTGTGTGTAAGCTTCAAGAAGATAAGGGGGCAGAAACGAGGCAGCGAGAGGACCGACAAACGTCCGAGCAAAAGTCGCTGTTGAAAGACAGACAAAAAAGAACTTTTGCTGAGAACCCAAGGTGAGACGTGCACGCTCACATGCCGTGAGCTTCCTCAAATGGGAGCCCGGGTACGGTGAGCCTTGAATCAATGTCTCTGTTTTCATCGGAAAGAAGATGCAATCAGCACGGGAAGGCACCCGGACATGACCCAGTTTCACTAATTGCCCCAAAGCTTCTTTGGAAAACTTTTGCGACCCACGTCATGCCTACGGGCAGTCATTTCGGACTCAAATGACGTGTTTATGCAAAGGAGAGGAGCACAAAGTTCACGTCGACGGCCCGAGTCGGCCCCAGGACAGTCCAGAGAGTCAGCCATGAGCAGGAAGGAACTGGAACCACCTGCAACTGAATGTGATTGGCAAAAGCTCTGCTCCAATCCAGAAAAGAAATCCTACCAAAAGGGGACGGGGGTGGGGGGAAGGAGGGAGTCTGTTCCCTATCTGTTTGCTTGAGGCATGCGGGGGCCAGACTGCCGTGTTTAGCCCCGTTTTAAACAACTGCCTTTTCCAGCCGTGGTTGAAGGGATAGCCGATCGAACCATCGGTTACCTGGACCGTACTTCACTCCTGGTTTTGGTTGACAGTCACTATTCCAGCGGCCAAGACCAAATGAGTGGCAAGTCTGGTCAAAGGCACGCCGGCATGCGCTTGAGAGAATGTAAGCTGTGACTTCCTCCTGGAAACTCTGTGCCGTGTGTGCGCTCTCTTTCCCACTGGTGCGATCCTCCCTCCAACTTACATGCTACGCGCAGGTTCCACTGCCAAGGATGGGATTTCTGAACATGCAGGTTCTTTCCCCTCATCTGCTGGAGTCATCTACGCTCCCATTCGCCATCTTCCTTCGACGCAACAAGACATCCGAGGCCCATAAAATCGGGACACTCACAAAACACAACTTGGGGAAACGGGAAACGAGCAGTCACTTGGAATGTGCAACGCAAATCCAACATGTTTCCACTTGCGGGTCATAGTTTTGACACCAACCCCGTGGCTAGAGTGAACGTGTACATTCGGAGCCATTGGTGAAAACATCGTGACCTCAACCAACAAACAAAGCACTCGGGCCGCACGCCGCGGCTTTTGCACGAATGAGATGAGATGAGATGAGATGAGATGAGATGAGAATCAGACTTCAGATCCAATTCCATTGTTGGTTTTGGGCGGGGAGTCCCTTCAGTCCCCTCTCGAGCTGGTAGAAGGCATATGCCCGTTTAGCGTGAAGCCCGGAGATCGACTCGGCCCACTCGGTGAACCCTTTTGTTGTCTTGGGAATTATCTTGATGCCTGATCAAGGATTCCTCAATCAAAAAAGGGTTTCTGTAGACTTGGGAGCTCAGTTTTCCGATGGCATCTTGCGTTCAATCTTCAGTACAGAATAAGTAGCCCTTTCCCCGGAGAATCCATGCAAGGCCACAGCGAAGCATGACCTCCAAGGAGTTACACACATTGTCAGGGCGGTTCAGAATTGGATTCTTCCAACCTAGACTCAGATAAGGATGGACAAAAAGGTCTTGTGAATACAAAAAAAATCGCAAGACTGGTGACCATAAACCAGGAAATAAACCAAAAAACGCTTGCAAAGGCAAGGACAAATACAAACGAAATTTGCTTGGCATAAAAGGACAAAAAAACCCAAAGCGCGCACAATACAAACCGAGACGAGAATTGTCAACCAAAATCCTACTTTCATGGAACAAAGAAAATACGTGGCGAGAAATGACAAGGCATGAACA